TGAATAATAATTGAATAAAACACACTAATGCAACATTTTTTTGCACCCAAGATGGAGCACTGTTTTAAAAACATGTAAATGCTTTATGCTCACAGCTGTATTTGAGTATAGCACAGTATAGGATAACCCTTAAAACTGAGAAACGTTTAAATTCAAACTATAAAATTAAATTTCAAATAAAATTATAAAATTTAGTTAGAATTATAAAATTACAGTAGTGCTGAAAAAGAAACAGCACATGGAGCTGTCCATATTTGTCCTGGACGGAGCTCTCTTCTGCAAGTAGACATGGGCCGATACGGAATCGAGCGACATGTCAACCACTGCACGTCACATGCGAATGCCAAATTCGATTCCCTTTTGTCCTGTGCCTATTTGTAAAACAGAGCTCTGTCCATGACACCACCCACATTTCCCCGTTTTTTCGCTTCCCTCAAAAACGAGTCGTGACCTCATGCCTTTGACCTCGAGCACAGTTCATCTTGAAAATGAAGCACTTCCGTACAAACACCCCTATTTTAAGAAATAGTTCCTCCTCTTGAAGTTCTTCAAGAAAGCACTGATAGGCAAAAGCCATGAAGGTCACCTTGTCTTAACACCTCAAGCCTGTCCAATGTATATTCGCCACCTGTTCGGAAGCCACCAAGTGGTCATTTACCTGTCCACGAGTACCGTCCTGCTGTACGTGGCGCCCATCGGCCACTAGCAAGACAAGTGGCATGTTATGCCCAACGAATTTCACTCTTTTGCGTGGCCCAACGACATTTGATTTCCATAAACAGAGCTAATTTTCATTCTGAAAAATTTTATCCATCTGTGAAAGAAATTTTGGCCGGACTTTGTGTTCATCCTTTCAAGTTCTTGGCCTTGGCCTTTACTGTTTTTGGCCAATTACGAAATCACTACTGTAAAACTGAATATTAAAAAGCTGGGCGATTTGAAACTTTTCATTTCTGATGGCGCACATACAAATACAAACTGCAAAAGCAGTAAACAGAAGACAGAGACCACAGAGCATAAATGT